TTTCCTCTAAATGTTCCATTTCCAAATTGCATCAATGAATTAAATTTAAAAAAAAAAAAAAAAAAAAATTGAAATGAATTCGTCTTTTTTTTTCCTAAGGTATTTCTTTATGCTAGTAAAGATGACATTAATCTTCATTATATAATTTTTTTTCAAATATTTTAAACTTACTGCCAATATTAATAGAGTATGTATATCTTTCTACATTATATTGGCAATGCAATTTCAGGATGATTTCAGGATACATAACGTTTGTCTTTCATTAACGTACAACGTGATATTTCTTCCTTTATACTTTTCTATCTATAATCTATAATTTCTACCTTTTTCTTCACGCTTTCACGTATACGTCATTCAAAACGTGTCACGAAACACGCAATTGAATGTGTTCAAGACGCATCACGAAGCACGCAAGACGTGTCACGAAAACATGCAATTAGACATATTCAAGACGTGTTACGAAACACGCAATCGGACATATTCAAGACGTGTTACGAAACACGCAATCGGACATATTCAAGACCTGTTACGAAACACGCAATCGGACATATTCAAGACGTGTTACGAAACGCGCAATCGGACGTATTCAAGACGTGTCACGAAAACATGCAATTAGACATATTCAAGACGTGTTACGAAACGCGCAATCGGACGTATTCAAGACGTATTACGAAACACGCAATCGGACATATTCAAGACGTGTTACGAAACACGCAATCGGACATATTCAAGACCTGTTACGAAACACGCAATCGGACATATTCAAGACGTGTTACGAAACACGCAATCGGACATATTCAAGACGTGTTACGAAACACGCAATCGGACGTATTCAAAACGTGTTACGAAACACGCAATCGGACATATTCAAGACCTGTTACGAAACACGCAATCGGACATATTCAAGACGTGTTACGAAACACGCAATCGGACATATTCAAGACGTGTTACGAAACACGCAATCGGACGTATTCAAAACGTGTTGCGAAACACGCAATCGGACGTATTCAAGACGTGTTACGAAACACGCAATTGGATGTATTCAAGACGCATCACGAAGCACGCAAGACGTGTCACGAAAACATGCAATTAGACATATTCAAGACGTGTTACGAAACACGCAATCGGACGTATTCAAGACGTATTACGAAACACGCAATTGGATGTATTCAAGACGCATCACGAAGCACGCAAGACGTGTCACGAAAACATGCAATTAGACATATTCAAGACGTGTTACGAAACACGCAATCGGACATATTCAAGACGTGTTACGAAACACGCAATCGGACGTATTCAAAACGTGTTGCGAAACACGCAATCGGACGTATTCAAGACGTGTTACGAAACACGCAATTGGATGTATTCAAGACGCATCACGAAGCACGCAAGACGTGTCACGAAAACATGCAATTAGACATATTCAAGACGTGTTACGAAACACGCAATCGGACGTATTCAAGACGTATTACGAAACACGCAACTGGACTGCGTTACATATTGTCTCATTTGGGATTGTGTAATGTTGCATTCATTTGAGATTATCTCATTTTGCGCGTTATATGGTATTGCGTCATATTGCATGTGATAAGTTCCGTTATCTCACGTTGCGCGTTATCCGTCATTTACGATTACGTGATCTAAGAATGCGTTGCGTAACTTTTTTTTTTTTTGTGTGGGGGGGGGGGGGGGGGATTACCGACGCGTTTTGTTTTTCTCACGGCGTATGACCTAGTGGCATAAGAGAATTATCTCATACATTTCAATTTTTTCACACATGTCACATTTGTGATAAAAATGTCTATTTTTCTCTGATTTTGTCACGAGAGTTTCATCTTGCCTCATAGAATTTTTACCTATTCGCAAATGAATGAAAAGGATTTTTTAGGAAGCGAAATGTTAATGACCCTTGATAGATTAGTTTTTTT